AAAAAAAAAAAAAAAAAAAAAAAAAGAGAAGCTGCCCTGGGCTGGCTGTCTTAGAAGGTGCCGTGGGGGTGGGCACAGGGCTTCCCGGGAACCAAGGATGGCTGCCCAGGGAAGTCCTGAGCTCCTGGTCTCTTTTCTCCTGGTCACAGATTCACCATCTCAGGCCCAGGAGAGTGTGTCTTCGTGGAGCCCACCCGGCTGGTGTCGACGGAGTGTTTGATGACCCGGCCCTGGGTGTGCAGCAAGATGGCCTACACATGACAGGGACAGGCCAGAGTGGACGGAGGCATCTGCTCTGAGCGCAGCCTCCTGTGGAGCCGCCTGCCTCCTGCAGGGGGACTAGCTGGGGAGGACCTGTCCCTATCCTGTCCCCTCTCAGGCTAAAGAGTGCCTGAGTCCCTGGTTCCTGGTCCCTCTGTCCCCAGGCAGGTCCTGTGGCTCAGCAATTGAATCCCATATGCTAGTAACGTGGCCATCTTTCCGCATCACACAGGTACACACACACACACACACACACACACACACACACAAACACACACATCATGCACGCACATACACACATACACAGATGCACAGGCCCTTCCCCGCAGCTCCCACAGCCACCCCTAGCCTTTCCCAGCCCCACCTGGAAACTACCCCACCCCCTGCGGCCCTGGTACCCTGAGGAAGGCTGGTGGCTGCTGGGCGCCCCCCTCACTGCTCGTGGGCCCTGAAGGCCCACCCTGCTCCAGAGTGCTGGGGGTGGCAGCTGAGCAGGTGTCCCCTCACCTCAGCCAGCCTTGCCCAAAGCCTGTAGGCCCTGTGCTCAACCTCTTTGCCTTCCTGGGGTCCCAGGGCAGGGCCCTCCCCGCTGTGTCCGTGGTGCTGTTGTATCGGTCACTAACGGAATAAAGAGATGACTGGAGTCAGAGAAGTCTGTTCCGGAGTCGCAGCTCGGGGAGAGGCAGAGGGACACAGCTCGTGGGGTCACCACAGAGATGAGCTTGCTTTGACATGGCCTGTAGTGGTGTGCAGGGAGAAATAAAAATATCACAAGTGACGGCTTCAGGGTCTCAGCTGATCTGGGCAGGCTGTGAAGTTATTCCTCGCTGCCTGAGGGCCAGGTGCCATTCGGGCTCCTTTGTTACGATTTAACCGTAACAGGATAGATGTTTCCCCCCAACTGCCATGTGCCAGACACCATGCCAAGCATGGGGACTCTCAGTCTTAGGCCCCAAGGAGCACACAGCTTAGAAAGCACTAGAATGTTCTAGAACACTGTGGAAGTTAGCTTACTGTGCTTTGGGGAGGATAGGGTGACACTCCCGTGGGGCTGGCAAAGAGCTCTCAAGGTCTTCAACCTCTTCCTGTCTCTCTGGTTTGTCTGGAGAGGTCCTGCGGGCCCCCCTTGCAACCTCTGCAGTGTGTGGCAGTGGAGCCTGAGCCCCTGGGGCTGCCCCTCCTGGCGGTCTTGGCTGGTGAGGAAACCATGTGTGTACATTAGGCCCTTGCTGATTTTTTTTAAAAAAAATGTATTTAGTAAAATACATACAGGGTCTACAGTGTCTCTCTACACAGACTGACTCATAGTGATGTTCCTGTTTTCAGCCTCCCAAGTGCTGGAAGTATAGGTGCATGCCACCATGCCCAGTCTCAGTCGCCATCTCAGTGCGCCCTGGGGAGGGCACTAGCACTAGCCATGCCAGGAATCGAACCCTGGTCCCTGAGCTCTGCCTAAGCAGGTGCTTTAGTCCGCTGAGCTATCTGGCCGACCCTTGATTTTCAGGAGTGAGCACAGAGGGTCGCCAGGTCCTTTGCCCAGCCTAAGCTATCTGAAAACACTGCCAGCTTGGCGCAGTAAGCTCTTCTGCATGTTTTCCAGATAGTTCATTGAGTAGGGGTCATCTGTGGCTTCATATTTGTCTCCTTTTGGGAAGCCAGTGACAGACCTAGGTGCACAATAAAATGTAAAAAGAGCATTCAGGGTGCTCCCCCACCCCCAACATGTGGTGGGGACCGCAGGGAGGAGCTGGGGTGGAGGAAGTGGCCAGTGCTGCCCATGTCTCGGTGGAGTCTTACCTCAAACAGTGGGTTTTTGATGGCGTTGGTGGTTCACACCTATAATCCTGGCTCTCTGGGAAGCTGAGGCACGAGGACCCCAAGTTTGCACATAGCCAGACGACTTTGCAAGAGCCTGTCTCAAAAAAAAGGAGGGGCTGGCAATGCCGCTCAGTATAGAGACTCCAGTACCTCAAGAATAAAATAAATAAAATGACTGAAGATGTAGCTGTGTGCAAAGGCCCTGGGTTCAGTCCTCAGTACCACAAAAGTGGGACTCAAGATCTTGGAAGTGGGAGGTCAGCGTCCTGCCCTCTTTCTGCCTGGATGTGGTGGGAAGACAGGGGACCCTGTGAAAGGACAGGGAACTTGAGCCCCTTATTTCTTTTTAAAAATATATTTAAAAGTTTTTTTTTTTTTAATTTGGTACAGGGTCTCAGTATGCAGTTCAGACTTGTAGGGATCCTCCTGTGTCAGCCTTCCCAGTGCTGGGATTACAGGTGTGCACTGCTATGCCCGGGGCCAGCACAGCATGCGGGACCAGAGGTGGAACTTGGGTTCTTGAGCTTGCCAGGCAGGCGCTTAGACCGCTGAGCTATCTCCCCAGTCTGAGCCTTCTTGTTTCTTATTAAGTATCCAAAGCCCGATGCTTGCAGCCTAAGGCCCCTGGCAAATAAGCTCTGCCAACTGGGGTGACCACACACTGTTCTAAGTCAGTTTGGCAAAGCAGGTGCCCAGCCGGGTTCACAGGTCTACCGTCCTTTGCAGAGTGATAAAGCGCAAGAGACGCAAAGAGCGGAGACTGCCGATTCCAGAAGTGTCGGGAATTCCTGCACACCCCGTAAACCAGCCAGCCACCTCCCCACCTTCCCTCGCCGTGGCAGCACTGAGGGCAGACCCAGAGGGGGCCTCCTAGGCCACGAGAGTTGCCCACGGCTTTGGGGCCGTGCAGGGGGAGGGGCGCTTCCCAAGGACTCGCTGGGGCGTTTTGGCGCCGCCCTGGTGGTCAGGGGTCCAGAGCTTTCTTCACAGTACAGAGCCGAGTTGCAGGCATCAGGATCTGAACTCAGCCCTTCCCACAGGCCCCTCGGGAGCTTTCCTCTAAGGCACACGGGTCCCCTGCCCAGCTGGCCAGCTCTGAGGAGGGAGGGGTGGGAAGGATCCCCCGTGGTGCAGAGCATTTGGATCTTCCTTGGGTGACCCCAAGACAGTTACGTTATCTGGTAGCTTGTTTCTAAAACGAAGGTCACCAGCTAAACATTGCCTGGTTCTAGGTTGTTCGCCTCTCCTGGAGACAGGTTCCAGGTTCTTCTCGCCTGGAACAAAGAACTGAACAAGATGAGCAAAAGGCAGCTGCAAAGTTTATTGAAGAAATGGGGCCAGGGAGATGGCTCAGTGAATACGTGCTTCCCTGGGGCCTGAGTTCAGTCCCCGGTTCTGCAGGAAAAAAAAAAAGCAAAAATGAAGAGCAGGAGAGAAATTGGAGCAAGCTTGGACCAGATAAATTAAAACAGGGGATGAGATCAGAGGTACAAGGACCCCTCCCACGTCTCAGGCTGGCCAATCTATTGAGAACCTGGTCCAGTTCTCCGGAGAAATCCACGTCCAGGGCTTGGGAACTGCGCGGTGCGCGCCCTCCAACGATCGGGTCACGCCCACAGGGAAGCTTTGCAGCTCCAAATCTCCTGGATCAGTCTCAGGGCAACTTCTGCCCTTAACTTCCACCAGGCTCCTGAGGACGCCTTCCCAGCCCTCCTTCCCAGCGCCTCTCACACTGAGAGGGCCTCTTGTGGCCTGAGTCGGTGTGGCCTTGGGCTCACACTCCTAGCCGACAGTGTCTTTGCACTCTCCGCCCGGAGGCACCCATGGGAGCCCTGAGAGGCTGCTGCCGAGCTCTTCAATCCCCAGAACGGTAAGCCAAACGCGCCTCTCACAACATGACCAGCCTCAGGTGTTTGGTGTTTTGCTAGGACCACAGAAGACAAAGGTATCCTGCCTCCCACAAATCCTATTCAGAAAAGCATAGGCGATGAGGATCCGTCCTCGGGCCAGCCCAAGGGCCATTTCCGTTTATTTTTTCTTTTTGGAACCAGGTTTCCTTCTGCACTTCAGACTGGCTTGAACTCCTTTTGTGGGTCAGTCTGGCCTTGAATTCACAGCGGTACTCTTGCCTCAGCCTCCCGAGTGCTGGGATTCCAGTACTGGCTGCTACACCTGGCTGGGTCATTTCCATTTAAAGCCTTCTTTCCGCTGTCACCATGTTTCCACCCACCAGCCCCCAGGAGCAAAAGTGGTTGTTAGTCTTCTCTTGCCCAGGAAAGGCTTCTTTGTATTCTTCTCTGGTGGATTTAGAAAAGTATGACTTTTATAAAAAATTTTTCCTCAGGGGTGGTGGCACATGCCTGTAATCCCAGGACTCAGGAGGCTGAGGCAGGAGGATTGTTGTGAGTTCGAGACCAGCTGGGGCTATAGAATGAGCTCAAGGCCAGCTTGAACTGCTTTGCGAGACCCTGTCTCTGAAAGACACACACATCTTGCTGTTATGATAGGATCAAAAAAACCTTTTGCCACTTTGCATAGCTACATCCAGAACTGGAAACCTTCTGAACACTTTTTTGAACTTTAAGAACAAATAAGGCGCTGGCTTAGAGCAGTTGTGAAGTCCTACTGTGTGATGCTTTGGGGGTCTTGGACTCCCCTTGCTTGGTGGGGAGGAATCCCCTGCTCCTCCACAGGCGGACGTGCCAGCCACCTCCTGGAGCCATGTCCCTGCACCCAGGTCCTCCCTGGCCCATCCTGGGCTGCACGGCCACCTGCCCCATGCAGTGCTGAGGCAGCTACAGCCCCTGAGCTTGGAACAGGAGGCAGGAATAAGCTGCGCCATGCCGCTGGCTCGCCATGTCCGTGGCGTACAGAAACACCGTGTACTTCTGGTCTCTTTGCACCCTGATGAAGTCATTTTCTGGGCTAAATTCTCAAGGTTGTCCACCTTCTCTTTTTTCTGATGGCATGGCTCGTGCTTGGCTTGTGACAGCTGTCTTACAGGCAGGGGACGCAGCTCGTAGCTATCCTCAGCCCCAGCCTCCTCTGCTTCCGGCTCAGTTAATTGATTCTGGTGAGTTTTCCTGAGATTGCATTATTAAAACCACGTGGCCAGTCTATGATTTGGGTGGGGTGAAGTGGGGTAGGTAGTACTAGGGACTGAAGCCCCGGCCTTGGCATTGAGCTACACCCCCACACCTTTTCTTATTTTTTATTTTGAGACAGGATCTGGTTAAATCACTAAATTTCCCAGGCTGGCCTTGATCTTGGGATCCCCCTGCCTCGGTCTCCTAGAGCGCTGCCATCCCAGGTGTGTGTCGTTGCCGTACTCCGGGCCAGTCTTCTTTTTTCCTGATGCACCTGCTTCGCTTCTCTGGCCTTTCCAAGTTCCAATTCCATTTTCTTTTGTTTCCCTTGTACAGCTGGGTTTGTCCTTTCCAGAGCTCCCCTCTTTCTTATAAAATCCTCCTGACAAGAGGCCAGCGTGCCTTCTAGCCTTTTCCTAGCACCCCTCTTAGAGTGAGCGGAGTCAGTCGGGCTGTGGCCTGCTTCCTGGTCACTGCAGGTCACCCCCTCTTTCACTGAGGCACGACATGGGGTGTTACCTGTTCATCCACTGAGATCAATTTCTGGTTAGCTTCTAAGCCAATGCTATATATTTTATTTATTTATTTCATATATTTTATTTTGGATTTTGTTACACAAGTACTCCACTTTGAAGAACTAATTTCTAGATAAAAGGAGGCTAACTGCTGAAGGAGCCTAAAAGCTCAGTGGTGTACTCATAAAAAGGCTTGTTTCCTGCTCTTGCAGGGCTTTCCCGGGGTAAGGGACACAGTGCCTTCCGTCCAGTGGCACAGCAGTGTCTGGGGCCTTGGAATCTCCCTCCCTAGATCTTTCCCATCTGGCCAGAAACTGAGGAAGGTGTAGGAGGGTTTCAGGTGGGCTCTGCTCAGGAAGGTGAGGCTGGGCTTGGGTGTTCCCTGCCCAGGTGCGATTCCTCTTTTAGAGTTCGCACAGCTGAGCCAGAGGCAGGCTGGGTCCCAGACACTGCAGGACCGTGGCAGAGCTTGCCTTCGAGCCCAGGCCATGCTCTGAGCCACCTGGCTGCCCTGTTGCCCTCTTCTCTCATCATGCTTTGGGGGCTTGTGACAGCTTCAAGCCTGTGACAGTCACTCTGTGGCCTGTGACCTGCAGCAAGTCCTTCAAGCATGGACTTGTCCTTGTCGCTTTGGTAGCGAATTGGCTTTCTTAACAGCATTTCCACTTCTGGATTGGTCTGCTGTAGATGAAGATTGTGAGAGGTATGGCTATAAAACTGAAAGACAGCGCTGGAACAGAATACAGAAGGACTGGAAGGGGTGTCAAGGGTTTTATCAAAGGGTACCCAGAATCTAGCACTGGTTTAGCAGCGCATCAAATACGAAATGGTACCATAGAAAGAACTATGTACCATCTACAGATTAGCTCTTGTGAGACAGACAGTTAAGAAATGGCTGATCTTGGGCCGGGGAGACAGCTGGGCAGTCTAAGCTTCTGCCTGGCATACGCAAGGATGCAGGTTTGATCCAGGCTGTTTGCTTCTTCTGACTGTTTCTTGCTCAGAGACGAGGTCTGGGCTGGTTTTGGCACGGCATGTTTTCATCCTCAGATGAAGACCAAGACCCTAGGAAGCCCACGCTTTCCTGCCAAGAGGTGTGCAGGGCCTGCCCTGGTGGCTAAGTGTGTGTGGAGGGCAAGGGGGCAGTCTGAGATACCCTGCCTGACCCTGAGCAGCAGGCGGAGACTGAACGGGAGCTCACGGACAGCGGCCGAAGCACCGTGCTAATAATCTGTGTGTTCCACTTTATATACTCAGCGTCTGCTAGAAGGTCTAACAGATGTGTAGGCTGAACCCTCACATTCAGAACTGGCAGTTAGAAACAGGGCAGGGCCTGGCCTCTCCCACCCAGCATCCCACCCGAAAAGAGAGCTTTGTGACCTGGGAGCCAGAGGCCACCCCAGGGCCCAGGACAAGGTGCTGCGGAGGGAGAGAGCCATTTAACAGCCAAGAAGTTGCGATGGTTATGGGGTCCAGAGCTCGGCTTTGGCTCACAGTGGCTCAGGTGAGCACCTCATCCTTCTTAATCTCCCTCCTTTTTTTTTCTTTTGGGGGAACTGGGGATTGAACTCAAGCCCTTGTGCTTTCCAGGCAAGCACTTATTCTACTGAGCTATTTCCCTGGCCCCCTCTCCCCACTACTGAGTATGTGTTGATAGCAATGTGTCGGCCAGCTATCTGTTACTGTGACACAATACCTGAGATGCTCAACATATTTGGAAGAAAGGTTCATTTGCCTTTTCACTTTAGATTTCAATAACTACCTGGGCACATTTGGGATGAGCTGGTTTTTTGAAAAAATCTTTTATTTATTTACTTATTTGGTACAGGGTCTCGCTACACAGCTCAGACTCGTGATCCTCCTGTCTCAGCATCCCCAGCACTGGGATCACAGGCATGCCGTTCAGTGGCCAGCACGGCATGCGACCCTGGAGATCGAACTTGGGTCCTTGTTCTTGGCAGGCAGGTACTTAGATCACTGAGCTATCTCTCCAGCCCAGGATGAGCTGTTTTCCCTACCCCCTTTCCATGGATAGGATTCCTGGAGGTGCTGTCCTAATTTAGAAAAAAAGTGAAATGTGTGATGGAAGAGTTCTGGTTTGGTTACAATTGTTTGTATAGACTTTTTTTTTTAAAAAAAATGTATTTAGTACAGAGTCTACAGGGTCTCACTACACAGATCAGACTCGTAGTGATTCTCCTGTTTTCAGCCTCCCAAGCACTGGGATTGCAGGCAAGCGACACCACGTCCAGTCTCGTCATCTCAGCACGTGCCAGGGGTGGCTGGCACAGCAGGCTGAGGATCTAGCCCCTGGCCCCTGTCTGCCCAAGCAGGTGCTTTAATCTGCTGAGCTATCTGGCCAGCCCTTGTTTGTGTAGATTTTTGTGTAATTTGAACTACTGGGTGAACTGTTATTTTTTCCCACTGGGACTAGACACAAAGGTGAGCTACTGATGAGTTACATCTCTAGCCCTCTTTGTTTATCTTTCACTTTGAGACAAGGTTTTGCTAACTTGCTCAGACTGGCCCTGAACTTGGAATCCATTTGCTTCAGCCTCCTACGTAGCTTAGGGTTGTGTTGGCATTGCTGGAGCCTGGGGAGACCAGGGATTTGGAAGGTGGATGGGTGGCTTGGGGCAGGGGAAAGGAGGGCTGAGCAGTCCGCTATTCCCTCGAGTATTTACTG